GTGTCGGTTTTCAAAATAAAAGCGCGATGAGCCTTGCTGTGTCATGGGTTGTTGTCCATTTGGTCGCGCATCAGAGGAGAATATTTGTCTTCAGTGGCCAAATAAAATGAACACTGACCAACATATTTGATGTGTATTGATGATGGCACTCATCAAAATTTAATGTTTGTTACTGGTTTTCTCAATTGTAGATTATGTTGTTTTTTTAATAACTATATTTTTGTGATTTTATGATGTAAATCTCTTTGAACTGCATTGTTGCTGAAACGTGCTACACAAATAAACTTGATTGTCTGAAATGGAGCCAGCAACATCTGACATCTGAGAATACTTTGAGATTATCCTCACAATAAAATTCTTCTTAGATAACAATAATTAACCCTCCACCTCCCAATTTCTCACCTTCTGCATAGTTCCACCATTATTTGTAGTCTGATTAGCAAAGATATATCAGTCTTGCACAGCAGAAACAGATTTAATCCTGTTGCAGAACTAAAATTCAACATGTAGCCAAATATAAGGGATTGAAGCCAATTAAAAATCCAAGAAAAAGTGAACGCCCCAACAGGCACTGCACTCCCAAGTCATTAAAACATCAAATGTCTTTATTGTCAAATCCATCTATGATATAAAAGAAAACTCAACACAACCACTGACATTCAGCATATACCAGGATTAGATTGGCTACAAATAATTTTAATAATTAAAACATATGACAATTAAATATGGTTTCATTGACTCTCCTGTTACTAAAAATGAGTTTGATGAAAACTTTGTAACAATATTGCATTTTGTAATTTTTGGAAGTAAATCCACCTGGGTGACAAGGCTGTTACAGTTTCACCAGCAGATGTCACTAGCGAGTGAAGCATCGAGTAATGAACCTTTAAGCAAAGGGCTGGAAAGCTTCATTGCTTCATGAGGCTTCATTTGCCCATCACTAATTTCCTGCCCCGTCTTGGGAAACAGTAATCACTTTGAAACACTGCTCTCTGGTGGTCAAGATGTGCAGCACCTGAGACCAACCATATTTAAATGTGAAAAACATACACATAGGAAATAAAATTACATAACTGAAACGAAAATCACTCAATAGCATTGCTACCGTAAGCTAAAAGAAAACCAACACTTTGAAACAGTACAATTATTTAACCCAAAATTTACCACTCGGCTACACTAAGTTCCAGTGTTAAATGTAAATGGTCATTAGAATTTAAAGTTTAATGACCTTTGAGAATGTGTTCTTGCATTATTATTTCGTCATTACCATTATATTACTTTATAAAATGGTCTCAAAAGAACTATATTATCGTTTGTTGAGAACTTCTGGAACAATTTATCATACTGTACAATTTATCATACTGTAAAATTTTTCATGGTGACAGACCTATTCACACATCCTCCAGACTCTTCACATTAAACTGTTTGTGTCTGGATCTCTGAAATCCACAGAAATCCACAGAGACCCCATTTCATCGGCCCTTAAACAAATATATACCTCATCAGCAAACCAAGACAGACTTGCTGTTCCTGGTTCATCTTCATTTCAAGTTCACTAATGTAGATAGTAAATATATTCAAATGGTTTAGATTTTCACAAGCAGTAAATTTCTTAATTGATATTTTGACACAATTAGCAGCTAATAAACACATACTTTTCAGGTTCACTGATGTTCTGTCAAAGTCAGGTTTGTCAGTGCATCAGCTGCTCAGGAAAATCATAATTTTTTCTAACACTAACTGTCTATTTGTACTTTTCTCTGCATCTTTAGCCAATCTGCAGCAGCTGAGATTCTGGGAGGTTCAACACCAAAACCTGAAGCTTCAAACTGAGCCGTCGACTGAACCAAGACGCCTTTCAAACTACAGTAGTTAACCTGCTCTGTTGGTAGATATTATGGTGTCTCCTTAATCTGTACAGACTGGCCTTCATCTTCTTTGAATACACAGTTTTATGGTGTTTTCTTTTGTTAATTGATTATAGTAAATATTTTGAACATCCATGTAAGTTTTAAGACATTTGATTGTTAACTTTAGGTAGCTGTGAAACCACCCATGTTAATTTGAACCTATTTTGTTAAAGGTTCAACAGGTTTGTTGCAATCTTAAATATTTAATCTGTCCTTTGTGTGCAGTGAAATGAGCATTAAAGTTAATTCAGTGATTCTTGAGTTTGGGTTGTCTCACTGCGTCTGGTGTCGTCTGGTGTTAGAGTTTTTTTTTTTGGGTCTGGTGGATACCGTCCCCAGAGTGACCCCTCCGGCCCGTAATTTCAGCTACTGCAGTTCCTTTGTTTTCCTTTGTTTTTCATTCTTAAAAAAAACTGGTTTTAAAAAGAATTTAATAAATGGTTTTTGTAAATTTGAAATTGTCTCAGATGTTTCAATCCTTGCATAACCGAACCTGTGTGCCTTAAACCAAAGGTAATACTCTCTGGGTGAAATTCCCAGGGTGGCATTATTGACCAATTTATTAAAACTAAAATTCCACAAAATCTGAGTTTCATCTAGTGTCGCCACATTAGAAAGAACTGTGATTGCTGTATTACTCATCAAGATTTAATTGCACTGAGAGCGACTAGCATGGTTATCATCAAGTCAAGAAAAACATTTTTATCTAAAAACACATTTTCCATCACTAGTGAGAGCCTGAATAATAAACCTTACAAATCAGAACAAAGTGAAAGGGGTCTTTAAAAAAATCTCATTCCATTGACAAAAAAGTTTGTGAATCTGCACTATGATTTTGGATTGTTTTAGCATCACACAAGCAGTGGATTTTTAACAACAAAATAAATGTGCTTTTCTTAAATGGGTTATTGTAAAAGCCATGCAAAAGGGAATATTCAATAAATGAACCACAGATGTTTCCTCTGCTCTATTGACTGAATGAAGAGGGCGAGGAACCGACGGATTACTAAAACCTGCAACTCCCAGACTGACTTTTACCACCCTCCCAAATTTCTTTAAAATATACGAGTACTGTATTTTTTTTTTTTTTTTTTCCTCTCTCCCACTAAGATGATTTTTAACTTACAATGCTAATGGTTTAAAGTTGGCTGGTCAACTTCAAACAAGGTAATGAGATACTTGGTAGTTGTGAGCTGGTGACGTCAGGGTACACCTCTCCTTGTGTCATTAAACAGGGATTGGCTTTTGTAACACTGTTCTTAGCCCATGCCATATCATTCCCTCTTTGTCTGTCTGAGACTAAAACAAACTAAAGCACAAGGACATTGCAGAGTAGGGCAGCTAAGGCTGGACAACTTGTGTAAAATTAAATGTGACTAGTTCTTGTGCTGTTAATGTGTTGGCCTGACTATCCAGTCCTCAATGTTACTAATGTTCTCATTCTAGGAAGTATCTTTATGTTGACAAATATGTCAAATAACACAAAATTATCCAACGTACTATAGTAACTCATATTTTTGTATAGCTAGTCTTGCACACTTAATTGCATGAATTAACTTCAGAACATACAATATTTAGAACCTCATATTGAAATCTGTTTTTATAATTCAGCTGTGCTTCTCTCTTGAAAATTTGAACACAAGAGTCTATGATTGCAAAGGGACAGGTCAACCTTTCCTTCCAAAAAGGTGTGCAGCTGCAGGCCAGGTACTATTGCCCTAATAACTGCATGCACTATTTATGATCCTGGATAAGATTTGCTAAAGCTATTCTCTATTTGGCATGCCAAGCCAGAAAAAAGATCAGTCTGTGCTTTTGTCCAAAGGTTAAAGGATTACTTCTCAAACATGCATCAAATAATCGAAGCAACACTCCAGGTATGTTTATAATGAGGAAATAATATAACATGATGTAAAGCTCATACTACTTCTCCTTTAAAGTTTTCTCTTCATGAAGGGCTGGGGAAGCTTCAGCAGAACAGTTTCAATGGTTTTTTGCAATTTTGCTGCCAAATGTAAGTACAAACAATATTTTTTTCAATAAATGGAGAACCTCTGCTTCTTTTCAAGAGAATTTTAGTTGGTGTGGAAGCAAACAATGTCAGCAAAAGGTCTCCAAAAACGGTTCCATGAAAAAAGACAAAACAGAAGACTTTTATTTCATTTTTACTTTTATCGCTTTAATTAGACTTTAGGTTTATGTAAGCTGTAATAAAACTAAAATACTATTTGTTTCTTATTTTAATAATAGTAATAATTATTATTAGAATTAATAATAATAATAATAATAATAATAATAATAATAATAATAATAATAATAATTATTATTATTATTATTAGAATTATTCTATTTGGCAGATTTGTTTACAGTGTTTGGTTCATTTGCTTTTATGTTAATTTGATTAATGTTGCACAAAAGTAAGAATGCCTGCTTTCACAATCAAACAAATGCATAAAATTAGGCAAACATTAAAAGTTTATTATTTTTTAACATACAAAAAAATTCTTATTGCAAAGTCAACCTAAAATATGATGCTACAGATGACTAAGCTGTTTGGGAGCCCAGAAAGCTGGCTCTGAAAACACATACTGAGGGCCTCCATCGGAGAATGTCAGTCTGTCCCATGGAGACGGAATCAAGGTAGGCACAAAAATGCATCCACTAGGTACTTCAGATTTATGTATGTTATTGTTATAATAATGTATAGATGAATAAATCTGGCATTCTGTTTTAAATGGCATATTTTCTATTTGACTCTTAATTCATGCCACCATATTTTTGGCCATCAGGTTGTCTTTGAGTGTTAATCTCTCCTTTAAATGCCTCTTCTCAAACCTTATTTGCATTACTAAAAGCTTCTAACATTGTTTTGTGGCAACAGCTTAATACCTCATAACTAGCTCAAAGCTTGTGGTGAAATCAGGAATGGATCCTAAATTGAAATTGTGTTTTTCATTATTGCTTCACATGTTCAAGACAGATGGAAAGAGGTTAATGTTTCCACTACGTATCTTTTTTCCTCTAACACACTTCATTAAAGCTTTATTTGTTTGAGAGATGCAATCTTTGTGTTTTGAGCACTGTTTTCTCAGTCTATTGAATGTCGGGTCTGGGGGGCTCTGCCAGCTGCTCACAATAAATTAGATTTGGCATGGCAATCTGTGGTAAAAGACTCGGGTCATAATAAGTGCCCTCAAACATAATTTACCTAGTTAAGACACAACTAATCAGAGAGACACAAGGCAGCACCCTTTGATGATGTGAATGTGCATTACTGTTGCAAGATTGGCATCCATAACAAGACTTTATTGATGAAGCTTACATTTGCATCCATAAATAAAACATCCAACTAGTTTATCTAAGGAAAACAAGAATTGTGGGAAACATTTGTTTTAAAAGACGTCAAATGTCAAAAAAGATACATATTAAGGTAATTTCTTATAACTCCTAAACTACATATATTCTTTTGTGTTAAAATAAGAGACTATTTCCAAGACTGCCATGGCCTTTTTCAGTGTTCTCTTCCTAAATTTCCGTTCTTGTTCAAATGATAATCCTCAAGTTCTGGAAAAGGGTACTTCCCTTTTGCCAGCAAAAAATGAAATGTAAATTGTTTCCAAATATTGCACCCTGAAACTGAATAATAACAGACATCAGTTCACGCTTCCTCCATACAGGTGCAAACTAAGTCCTTCCTCTTTTGTTTCTAAAGCTGTAACCATTAACAAGAAATGAAACCAGCCTCATATAGCATATGATGAATACCCACTCATAAAATGTGCATGTAAACACGTAGATGAAGATCTTGTCTTTAAAAGGATTGTGAGGATGTTTTTAAATAAAGTTTTGTGAGAAGAAATTAAGAGTTATCTTGCCTGCATTCGATAGCATTTCTGGTGCTAGAAACAGAATCAACTGGCCAGAGAGATCTCTAGACCAAAGCATCTTGTTAAAGCAATTTCAATATCAAAAATCTCATGGTGATTTATACAGATGCTGATTTATGTTTATCTATCAAATTCAGGTTCATATTGGCCAAGCTTCCAAATATTGAATTAATGTTAACAACCGCCTCGTTCGGATCAGCACTTCATAGTTGAGGATGGCTGTTTACAGAGCAGATCATTTCCAGTAAGCTTCATTAAGTTGAACTGGTGCATTACATATATTAC